GGGTGTGGGAGAAAAGGAGGGAACCCTCCTACACTGCTGCGGAATGTAGTTTGGTAAAAGCTATTATAGAAAACAGTATGGAGGCTTCTCAAAAAAATAAAAATAGACCTATCATATGATCCAACAATGCCACTTCTGGGTATATGTCTGGAGGGAACTCCAATTCAAAAAGATACATGTACCCCAGTGTTCTTGGCAGCACTGGATACAACAGCCAAGACATGGAAACAACCTAAATGTCCATCGACAGATGACTGGATAAAGAAGTTATGGTATATTTATACAATGGAATATACTACTCAGCCATCGACAAGAATAAAATAATGCCACTTGCAGCAACATGAATGGACCTGGAGACTGTCATTCTAAGTGAAATAAGCCAGAAAAAGAAAGAAAAATACCATGTGTTATCACTCATATGTGGAATCTAAAGAAAAAATAAAAGGACACTATGAATTCATCTACAAAACAGAAAGAGACTTGCAGATAACATAAACAATCTTATGGTTACCGGGGAAAGGGGTGGGAAGGGATAAATTGAGTTTGAGATTTACAAATGTTTTATACTATATATAAAAATAGATTTTTAAAAAAGGTTTCTTCTGTATAGCATGGGGAACTATGTTCACTATCTTGTAATAACCTTTAATGAAAAAGAATATGAAAAATGTATATGTATGTATATGCATGTCTGGGACAGTGTATTGTACACCAGAAGTTGACACACTGTAATTGCACTTCAATTAAAAAAAACAATCTCCTGTGTCAGTTCCTGTCACAGTTTTCCCTTGCGAGCTTGGGTAAGTTCCCTCACTTCTCTATGAATTTCTCACTGACCACACAGACACAACATGATCCCTGGTGCGGCCAACTTCTAGGGCTACTTTGAGGCACAGATTGGAACAGCCTGTGAAAGAGTGTCAAAAACTGCCCAGGCCTGGCCCCGTTTCTGTCTCTTCTTTGGAGCCTGGTCTTCCCCTCTCTGCCCTCGGTTTCCTCACCTGCTCAGGAGGGACTGGAACCATTCAGTTTGTTCTAAACTTCTTCAGCAGAAGAGCACCTGGAAATCACAGCGGTCTCTGCAGATGACCGTGCAGCTCATCACGTGAACTGTAACTTGGCACTCACTCACTCACCTGTTCAGGTAGTCCGCAAACCTCCACTGAGGGCCTACTATGTGCCGGGGACCTTCCTAGGTGCTGGGAGTACGGCTGTGAACAAAACAGACCAAATCTCCGCCTCATGGAGCTCAAGTTCTACTGGGGACACAACTCTTAAAAACGGACACACAGTATTTCTGACCGTGTGCTTTGAAGAAGAATAAAAAGGGCAGGGAAATAAAAGGACTGATGGGGAGGAGATGATATTTTAGACAGAAGGCTGTGGACAGGCCTTCAAATTAGGTGACATTTGAACAGAAATGTAAAGAAACGGGGAAGAAGGCCATTCCATTACCCAGGGAGAGAGCCTTTCAGGCAGGGAGAAGTGTCAAAGGCAGAGGGCCGGAGGCCTAAATATGCTTGAAGTTTTAGTGCATTTGGTACAAAGGGTCAAATCAGGGTAGCTACTTGCCTCTGTTCTATACCCCCTCAGGCAACTACCTGGATTTCACTTTTTCATAACTATACTGTTAGAAGAATAAAGCAGACCCTGAACATTCTGGGGCAAAAAGAGATTCATCGCCAACTGGGAACTCAGATAAGCCTCCTGGAGAAAAAAAGTAGTAGTGGTACAGGTGGTAGGAGTTGCATGGTGCTACTGCATGCTAGATAGCATGGTAGGGCTTTACATACATTTAATAATCTAATCTTCACACCAGCCCTATGAGGCAGGCATCATCATTATCCTGATTTACTGCAGACAGGAACAAAAGCACAGAGAGGTCAGTATCTTGGCCGAGATCACACAGCAAATAAGGAGGTAGCCCAGATTCTTGCCAAGACAGCTGGGCTTCAGAACTGCTGCTTCACAAGAGGAAAACAAAGCTCATGTGAATGTATTTTCTTGTGGATTCAATTCTACTGTCATTTTTTTTGGAAAAATAATTATATATTGAAATCCAGGGTACAGTGCATACAGTTGCCTCTAAATATCCTAAAATGAATGGAAGGCCAGTGGTAAAAACAAATTTGAAGCCTGGTTCTGCACTCACTCCCAGTGTGTTTCTGGGCAAAACACTTTACTTCATGAGCCTCAGTTTTGTCATTTGTAAAATGAGGACAATACCCACATTGCAAGCTTGTTCTGAAGAGGACATGGTTGTATCAAAGGTGGTTCAGTAAGAATTTCCATCTTTTTCCCATAGTTACTAAATGCTCTGTGAACCTTCTGCTAACTTACAGCTGATGCTAGAATTTTCTGGTGGCTCTGGAATCTAGTCTCTGTAACTGATGGAGAAATGTACATTTCTGGAGGGCTAAAGGGCTCAAAGTAATCATTAAGCAATTTCAACTCCTGTCAGCAGGGCTGCCATCTACTCACCTATATGTCACTGGGCAAATGACTTGCATTTTTCAGAGCTTCGGTTTTCTCTGAAAATGAGGGCATATGTCTCCTAAAAAGACTTTTTTGGGTGTTTTTCCTTGATTCCCTTCGCCCTCATCAGAATTTCAAAAAAGCTATTCAGCTGATTCTGATGCAATTCTCTCTCCACAACTCATGTACATGGACACACACAGACACGAACATACACTCTCTCTTACACACGTATACACACATATTTAATGTGCCTTGGTGGAGAAGAGTCTCTGAGGTCCTGAGTTTCCCTAAACGGTCACAACGCTCATTCCTTGAAGGTGACATTAGCCCTAGCAACAGAAAATAGGTATGTGAAATGGCCAGTCATCCTCCTTGGCAGATCGTTACATGGGGTTCCCCCAGGACTCCACACAGGCTTTAGTCTTATTCCACCCATTCTCTCTGGATGACTGCATTCAGCCCCAATGGCTTCAGATGCCACCTGTCACCGATGTCTCCCAGAGCCTCAACTTTGGCTCAGACCCCTTTTCCAAGTTCCAGATCAGCAACGCCAGTGGCCAACATGACATCTACCCTTGGCTGTCTCATTGGCACATCAGACTCAAGGTGCCTTCAACAGGTCCACTTCTCTGGAAAAACTGCTTTTCTCCCCAGTGTCCCCAGGTTCAGGAAATGGCACAACCATCCACTCTGTCGCTCACGACCAGCAGTCACCTTTGAGTTATTTTCCTTAGCCCCCAGTCAGTCAGTCACTGTGTCTCACTGATCCTACCTCCTACACTTCTCACAAGTCTGTCTACCTCTCTCCATCTCCACCACCGCCATCCTCCTTCAAGTCTCCATCACTGAGCTCCCTGAAGTCTCGAAGCTGGGCTCCCTCCAATTCCATTCTTGCCTTGTGTATTCTCAGTGACATCAAAGACATTTTAAAACTACACTGTGATCCACGGTTTCGAATGGTTCTCTGGAAAATCACCAAAGTGGCCAGTGCGTGATCTGGCCGCTCCTTTATTTTGTACCTTTTTTCCTTTCTCTGGGTTTCAGTCATGTAGGCCTCATTTCTTCTTCTTTCCAAATCACCAAACTCCTGATGGTCTCGGGGTAATCTTATGGGCTGTTCTTTCTGCCTGATAAATTCCTTCTCCCTCAGGTTGCAAGTTAAGTGGCAAGCAGATTTCTAGGACAGCCCCCAAGATTCCCTACCCTACCAGAGTACACATCCTGAGTAACCACTTCTCCTTCAGTGTCGGAAGAACCTATGAAAATGAGGGGATGTCATTCCTATGACTGGGACACTAATCTATGCTCATCTGATTTAATAAAAAAGATGATCTTGGATCGGCCTGAACCAATCAGGTAAAACCTTAAAAGAGAGTCTTGAGGTCAGAGAGATTTTCCCACTGCCTTGGAAGAAGTAAGCTACCCTGTTGTGAGAGGGTCTGTGAGGGCAAGGAGTCATGAGCAGCCTCTAAGAGCTGAGAGCAGCCCCTGACTGACAGCCAGCAAGGAGATGGGGACCTCAGTCTGACAACCACAAGGAAAGAAATCCTGCCAATAACCATGTGAAAGGACCTTGAACTCCAGAAAGAAATGCAGCCCGGCTGACACCTTGATGGCAACCTTGTGGGATCCTGACTGGAATCTGAGTTGTAGCCAGACTTCTTATCCACAGAAAAACTAACAGATCATAAACACGGGCTGTTTTAAGCCTCTAAGTTTGAGTTAATCTCTTAGGCAGCAATATAAAACCAATACACATTACATCTCGATTAGTTCTGTAATTATGTATTTCACTGTTGTCTCCAGGAAACCGTACAGCCTCCCCACAACTGAATCCCAGAACCCAGTATGGTGCTAAGCACATAGTCATGGAGAATGAACAGTTTCTCAATTAATGTGTCAACATCTTGGGGTCTCGACTACAAGTAGCTTTCTCACATTATTGATTCCCTTGTTACAACACAATTATTAGGCAGAAAAATGCATCTTCTTGCTGCCACAAAGCTTTCAATATGGTTTAAGTTTATGTATGCGACGCTTAAGCAAACACTCCACTAGGCCACAACCAGGAGAGGTCCAAAGCTGAAGAGCTAAGCACAAATTTTCACACGTTCCCTCAGAGGTTGCCTGTGTTGCAATTAAGTGAACACTGATGGAAGATGCTCTCGGTTACTCTGCATCAACTCCTGTGATCCCTGTATTAAGCCTAGGAAACTTACTGCATTGGGATGTCTCAAGAAAATCCATGTCTGGTATATCAGTCAGGATAGGCTAAGTCATGCTGCAGCAACAAATAACCCCAAATATCAGTGACTTATGATGTTAGCACTGTACTGTCAATGTGGGAGCTACTAAGCACTTAGTAGCTAGTTCAACAGAGATCTGCGGAAAATATACACTAGATTTTGAAGACTTAGAAGTCTGAAAAAAGAATGTAAAGTATCTTATTAACTTCTATACTGATTATGTGTTTTGATAATAACTCAGATCTACTGGATTAAATAAACATTCTAATTAATTTCATCTGTTTTTTACTTTTCATATGTTGTTAACAAAAAATTTAAATTATGTTATTTCTATTGGCCAGTACTATTATGATAAAAGTTTATTTCCTGTGTGTGCTACACGTCCATTGCAGGTCAGCTTACTGTAGTCACTTAGTGATACACGCTGATGGGTGCAGAGCTCAGAGGGTTTCATAAGGACACATACCACTTCTGCACCCAGCTCTCTCTACAGAGTAGTCATATGGACCCATCTGTCTACAAAGCCACCAGGGAGAGGGATTATATCTGATGAGTATAGTGCTATATGCGCTGGTATAGAACACTGTTCCTCCATCACCTACTTAGTCTCACGGTGGGTTTATTGTGTAAAACATTTGTGTAAAACAAATACCTTACCTACCTTGCAACATAACCACTTACAAGGTCATTTAACAAACATCTAAAGACAATCTTAACCACATCCTAAGTACTATGTTGGGATATAGAGAAGGCTAAGACATAGTCCTGGATCTCAGGGAAATTACAATTCAGGAGAGCAAGTATTAAACTAACTAGGAATAACGTGAGGAATAAGAACAGAAGTTGGTCTAGCGTCCTGTGCGAGCACAGGAGAGAAAATGCTCTTTGTGATGTCCCCTCCAGGCAGTACCAAATCTCTCCTCAGAAGTAAGCAATGCTCGCTCTCATCTACAGGCTCCAAGAGCCTTCCACTTGTTAGAGATCATTAGATCACTTCTCTCATCCTTCAAGGTGGCGTGTTAGGTAAGCTGAACTTGGGGACAACTGTATCATCACAGTTATGCTTTATATTATCACAAATGGCCGACCCACTGATAACTATTCACAGTTATGACCCAGGCAATAACCCACGTGTCATTCTGCCTTTAATAAGCTGCAGCAATTAACAGCTGTGAAATAAGTGTGACCGAGAAAGGACAGATGAGCATGTTGTCTGCTGCCAGTGAAGCAGCAATTTAACTTTGGAAATACTTCCTAATGCACTTGGAAAGGTTAGGACATCCCTCTGAGGCCTATTCTACTTATTTCTTGGTGGAATGCTGACCAAAGTCAGAGG